CTATTCGTCCCATTTGCTCTTCATCTTCATAGACACAAGCTAACTGAGAAGGGAACAGTGTTACCACCATGCACGCTCACCGTTTTGCAGCTATGCCAGGGGCTGTGCTTTGTCTCGCTTTCACTTCTGCAAGAAGTGTTTGAAGACCAGGCAAGAAGAGAGTCCCAAGCAGCAGAGTGGTCTTGACACTTGACCTCGAAAGGGGGTGTGGAAGTGTATGGGCGCAATAAACTGACAGCGAGGTCAGTTTGCAAGCGGCTTTGTGAAAAACAACTGCTTTGAGAACAGCATCGCATGTTTCAGGGCTTTGTGCAGCAGTAGCTGTGAGTTTTTGCATTTCAAGTGTTTTGAGCAAGCGTTCCTGACGGAGCTTTGTGTTTTGGAGTGCTTTGAGCGCTTTGGAAAGCATAGCTCATGGAATGTACAATGTTTAGAAGCTTTGTGAGCAGAAGTCTTTGTTAACTTTTGCAGAGTGAATGTTTCTTGAACTTTGTGCATGTTTGAGTGCGTTTGAGCTCGACATTTTCAGTGTCTCGCATGGGAATTGCTCGGAAGCAGGAATACCTCATAGCCTTTTGTACTTAACTTTGGCTCAAGACTTGAGCGCTGGCTCAAAGTGCGCGTAAAAATGCTGCGAGTGCTTTCCCTTTGCTTGTGAGCTGTTGTACGTGCTTTCGTTTTGTGTTTTAGAACGTTTGTAATTTACTTACTTAAGGTAGTAGGTTTTTCACGGGAAGAGTTTTTTCCCAGTGCTTAGAAGGCTTCAGTGGACATTAACAACAAACAAACGAAGACACTGGCCCCTTTCCCTTGAAGTGCGCCTTGAGTCTTGAGGTGCCCCAAACAAACCTGCCCTCATGGCTCAAAGTGACCCAATCCTGTTGCCCTCCGCCCCTGCCCTGCCCCGGGAAGCCTGAAGGCTCCTCCCGTCAACCAGCTCCAACAACCCATCGTGGTCGTCGGTCCGTCGCGTCGTCGGTCGCGGGGTCGCGCACAGCCCATGGGACCGGTTGGTCGAAGGCGTCTCTTCTGTCCAGTTTTTTTGGTTTTCAGCTTGTTCGATCCGTTGGTTTTTCCATTTTTCAGATGGTTTTCGAGGCTCACACGAGCGGATTGCCTTTGTTTCTTTGTTTCGGGGTTGAGTTGGTTTGGTTGGTTTGTTTGGCAGCTTTGCCTTCTTGGAAAGTCCTGAGCAAGCAGCTGGTCGGCTGCTTGGTTTCAATGCTGCGTCCTGGCGTCACGCGGCGTTGCAGCTGCAAACCCAAAATCAAGGTATGGGCAGGCCCACACGAAATGCAGATTTCGTGTGATGACATTCCTTCACTCGGATCGTTTTTCCAGATTTCAAGGATTTCGGCTGAAGCATGCGGTGCATCGGAAATCCACTGGTAAGCTCCATTCCACAGCCTGGGATTCACCAAGCCTTTTGGATCGGTTCTTGCCTTTTCGGGATGAACTTCGTCGTCTCCACGACAGCCGATCCAGCTGGGCCAAACGAACCAACGAAGGAATCCCCGACCGACATGTGAGTGAACAACACAAAAAGAACTAAGCGCCGCCCAACACCGGGCCCGTATGGCCGTGACACCAACAACAACAGGGCAAAATGGAGTTGGTTTGCAACTACTGCAAAGCAAAACACGAATAATATCATCATGGAGATGTTGGCTACCTGACTAGCGCAATGCTGTGTTCTTGGTGTCGTAAGTCAGTGACCTTGCGATGCCGCAGGCAGTTGCTGCCCAAGGGTTGCTGAAGGGACTTGGCACATCAGAAAGAATCAACAGCCTGTTGACCTTGAAGGGGATGTTTGGAACTTCGTCACTTCGCTTTTTGATGGCAAATCGATGGATTTAGATGAGAGCACTTCCAGGTATGCATGTTGTCAGTACTAAGCACAATATATTGTCCACAAATCTCATATATATATATATATAGGTTGAAATCCGTGGAATCAGAGAAGTTCCCACGCTGGTCTTGTGGGGGGTCGCTTTATCATCCAACTCCCCCTGAGCCCCACGTGCGGCGCGAAGAGGGCGCTTGCCCCTTCATCGCCATGTCGCCGCTTCCGGCCAGTGTCATCATGGGTGGACTGTTCGGGTTGGCAGGGTATCTGGCGTTACTGGGGCTGGCATGTTTGATCAAGGCGTCAGATTCGAGGCCAGAGAGGCTAGACCGGAGGTTGGCACCGGACGTGAACGAAATGTGTGCGAGAATCCCTGACAAAGAAGTGGATCGTGAAAGCACGTGTCCTATTTGTTTAGACTTGATGGAGCTTGGGGACTTGGTCAAGCAGCTGCACTGCAAGCACTGCTACCACAGTTCCTGTTTGGAAGCATGGCTTCGCAGCAACGGCAAACGAGTGATCCAATGCCCCATGTGCCGACAAGCCCATACCAATTCGTGCCCAGAAGATCTTAACTGTGGAAGAAAAGGACGAGGTCACAACACGTCCCAACACGGAACACCGTCCGAGGTGGAAGTGTCCGCGGGTCTCTGAAGCTGTTGACCGCCGAGTCACGAGATTCACATATGATTTTCACTTTGTTTGTTTTTAAAAAGCTTGGCCAAGACTGCAGAACAAACAAACATCATTCTTGACTTCTTGGACGTCCATCTACTTGGAGACTACAGGCATTCCACTAGAGCCATGAAAAAACTGTGGGGGTGCAGTGCCTTAGCTGCTTTCGTTGTGTTCTTGAACAGTTTGCAGACAGATCTTTGCATATACTAGACTATCAATCACAATAATAGATGTTCAGATAAAAATTCTCAATCCGTGTTGATCCATCTCTGGCGGTCAGTCAGTATGGCCCCGCGCTTGCGCCCGGACGGAATTTTGGTGGATGATGTCCTAGCCTTCCTTGCCGTAAAGGCTTGTCTCAAAGCTCTTTGAAGCTTTTCGCTGTTTGAGGGATATTCAGCAATTGCTCTTTCGCCTCTTTGGAAGCTGTGCAAATCCACAACTGAGAGTCACTATGGAAAGGACGCAATCCTTGTGTGGTCGGTGCGCATCAAAACACCCATCATCCAGCTTCCATCCATTCCTCCATCCAGTACGGAAAAAGGTCTGTTTGGGAGTCCTTCAAGGACATCTGGAACACTTCAAAGACAAGGAACAGTTGCTTTTCGTTTTGGGATTGTCCACACAGGAAGAACTTTGAACTACAACCTTTTCATAGAAGGCGCGAACCGAGGGCTTTGCGCTTACACCGTGGGGCTTGGGAAGGCTGGGTGAGCCGTTCGCCGTCCGCGGAGCGCGGTGGCGAACGGTGTGAATTCGTGGCCGAGGGAACTCGGCGCTTTCCGGATCAGTCTTGGCACGATTCTCTCAGCACCGTGACTGGCACCCAAAAGAGAGTCGCTCAACGTTCGTTTCAGATGATTTTTGAACACCAGCAAGTTTCTGCGATCTCTTGTTCGGATCAAGGGGGAGCAAAAACAAACCCGCTACCCTGACCCCTGAAACTCACATGGACCCTGACAATTGGTCTCCTGGCAGATGGTCTTCGTCTGCAAATCCGTGTTTTTCAGGGTCCATGTTAGTCTTCAGGGGGGTAATCGCCGTACATCAAAAGGGCGTTGGTTGCGCAACACCGGGAGCAACAGCTCCATTTGTTCCACCTTCTTCCATGGTCGGGGTGCTGCAAGGGTGCTTTTTGGAGGATCATTGGCAGGCATGGCAGAGGAATGGACGATCACATCCAGACGAATGCGCACCGGAGGTCGCTTTCCAGCCCTGCAAAGAGGGCGGGGTCCTTTTTCCAATCGTGTGGCGTTTTTCTGGATGTCCGTCTTCCACAGTTGTTTGACACTGTCAGACAAGAAGATTGACCATGTGAGTAGCCAAAACAGATAAATTGAAGCACTCTCACAACCCCAGTAGATGAAGGTTCCATAGCAAAAGAGCTACATTAAGAAATACATAGAAACACCGACAATCAGACGAGCCACAAGCCATGCGCCTTTTTGCAGCCAACATCCTGGTGTCAGCAGTTGGATGCTCACCACTTTCTGCGCAGAAGAGAAAGGTGGCCAGCATGGGACGGCAGTGGGTTGAGCGTTGAGCTTTGCCCCAGAGGGATAGATAGGGATGGCCCCTAATTTAGACATTGGACCCCTGAAATAGATAGAACATGATAGAACAGTAGAAATATCCCACTTATTTTTGGATACAGTAAATTGGACACCGGTGCTGTTTAGCCACTGCCTCGGGCCTCGGCGACCACGAGCAGAGGAACGAACTCGGCCTCGATCGAACCGCGAACTCCAAGGATCAAAGGATCGACCGAAGCGCAGCGAGCGCAGCGAGGTGACAATGCGTGGAGAGATGGCGAATACGAACGCCGCAACGACCCGTGTTCTTTGGGTGGATGAAGCACGAGACCCGCTGGGCCGACTCTGGCAGAATATCATCCCATTTCTGGCAGGTTTGGAAGGCAGACGTGGTTGGAACGCAACATGGGCAACTCCTGGCCCCACTTCGCACAGTGTTTGATGTGTTACCAAGGCTTAAAAGTTCATGGCTGGAATTTCCACCAAGGTACCCGGATTGGCTTCTGATCTTTTGGAACTTCAGATGTGGCTCTTGATGGCTCAAAACGCAGCAGAATTCACAAGCATCATTCATCCTCATATCAGCAGGCAAACACATCAAGCGGCCAGCCACAAGCAGATCCACCCGTGTGTCAGCTGGTTTGGGCATGAACCCTGCTCTTTCTTTTCCAAGCGATCAATCAATGATTCAATCTGAAATGGGTCACAGTCTTCCACACCAGGATGAGAGGCTGTTCTGTTTCCAGTGGTTCTTCCAAGATGAGAGGCTGTTCTCACTTCTTTCCCATCCTGACCCATTAGGATCAAGTACTTTGATTGCACACGCAAAACGATGAAACGACGGTGATGATCGGTTTCATCGTGGTGAAACACGACCAGATTCGTGGTCTTACGACAGATCCCCAACTGGGGCATAAGAACCACAGGATCCCTAGAGACGAACCCAGCTCTGTTTTCAGCTCGCTTTCCCTCTCAGCGGCTTTCAGCACGGCTCCATGTTTTCCTCGGCCCTGGAAGCAGTTGCTCGGCCCTTTTTTTGCTGGGTGGGCTGGTGGCTACGTGGCGGGTTGATGGAATCATGAGAGCTAGGGGAGGAGCAGGATGATCCCATCGTTCACTTGGAGATTTGGGTGGAGTTTGGAATCATGAGGGCTAGGGTCTTGTAGTACATCCATCATCAGAGCTACGGGTTTGATGGAATCATCTAAGCTTAAGTCCGAACGGCTTTTCTCCGTCGCACCTCGTTTTTCTTGGCGAACGGAAGGATCCTGTAGCAAATCTTTACCATTCCAGTCACCCCAACCCTCGGATAGGTGGGTCTTGCAGGAAGTCCTTGCACTGATGAACTAGGGTGGATGCACCCATATGTTGGGTTTGTCCGTTCATACCTGTAACAGTCAGTAAACAATTATCACTATATACTACTTTTGAACAAGGCCTTTACTACCATAATCATCCACTGTTACAGGTCTTGGGATAGACCCTACCCATCTGTATGTCGTTTCAGGATTTGCCGGCAGCTTTGGAACAAACACTGACTTGATGGGGTGATGGCATTCTACTACTGTCCAAGCAGCAGCTGGTGCTCGGGGGCCATGCTACAGCTGAGCCGGGTTTTTGGTGGCCCTGGTGGCTGCGGTGACTGAGGGCATTTGGTCCACCAGAGGTTTGTTCACAAACAAATCCAATGAGCAAACTACACTCACAAGCCCAATAGTTAGATGAACATCCCATATACGTCCATCAAACTTTAACAACATTCAACAACAGACCATTTCGTTCGTCTCAGTCTTGGATTTCCACACTTATTTTTGCATGGATGCCTTGGACTCCTTTCTCCGTCTCCCATGTGCGTCTCCGTGCCGTTCCCACCGGTGGTGAGACCGCCGAAACGGCGTCTCCGTCTCCAGGTGTATCCGGCACTGAAGCTGGTCCGGGACCCTCGGGCACCGGGAGAGTTCGGACGCCGAAGGGGGGATGCGAGGAACTTGGGCAGCGGAGGTCCGGGGTCCGGGTGCTTTGGGGCTGAACAAGGTGTTTTTTTGTTTTTCTTTGTTTCTTTCCATGAAAGCACCGACATACTGTTGGTTGGTCATGAGTTTTCTGAACACAAAACAGGATGTTTATCTTTTCTTTTTGTCCGCTGGAAGAAATCCTTGTGGTTGGGACCTCGGGGTGACGCAGGGGGTGACCTCGGAGGTGCGATGGAACAGACCACCCTGCGCCTCCAAACGATGTCCATTCACCTGAGAGCTCTGCCCGACTCGTCTCGTCTCTTTTGTGTTTTTCACCAGATTGAGAGACCCTTCTAAACCTGAAACCTGGTCAAAGGACACAGATTTTCAAACACACTTGGGCTCATGTCTAGGATCTTTTCGATGGGTGTTTCTTCGCGAAGATGTTCAACTACACCTACTACACCTTCCCCGACCTGCTTGATCAGCCAAATCTGGCGATCAGCCACCATGGACCTTGAAGGTTCAACCAGTGACCTTCCAGTTCCTCGACCTTGCTTCAAACGCCCGATCCTGCTTCGAACCCCCGAACCTTGTCACAGACTTGATAGGAGAATCGATGAAGTTCATATGGAGCCCTGGCTGGCCCCATCTAAAAGACCTATCGAAGCTCTGAAAGCACTGTACGAGTTTGGTTCATGTCCAGTGCTCAGCAGACGCCCTCCGACACCCTCGCAACCTCACGCCCCGGTTTTCACCAGGGCTGCCTGCCACACATCGGCCACTTCAACGATGGCCAGGCCGCGGGCCAGGCACTCGATGGAGGTCTGAAAACCACCCCAAATGTAGGTAATCGTGTTCATAGATGGAGTTGATGGAGTCGATTGCCAGTATGAAACCTTGGCATGTTCAGATCTGGGGCATACCCCCAAAAAAGCCAAACAGCCACATTTTTGCTTCGACGATTCTCGCTCATTGACATCCGATCAGTTAGCATTTTCCAGTTCAGGAATTTGAGAAAAACTGGTTGACGAGATGTTCAGTTCGCACACCTGCGGCGAGTTTCCTCACGTTTTATGAGGCTTCCTCTTTGGATCGAAACCGATCGAAACCACCGGCGGGGACGAAAACGATCGTCGTTGGGGAGACAGAAAGAAAAGCTCCGCTCACCACGCCGAGAGACCGTGCTGTTCGGTGGGACGATGAGCTCTTCCCTTTTTCGAGGACTACAAGCTGGCTCGCTTACTCTCCGCCCTGCGCTTCAATCGGGACGGGCTCGACTGGCGGGGAAGTGGGGCGTTGGTTTGGGCGCAGGGGCCCCCGCGGGCGGGGCGCGTGGATGTGGGGCCTCAAGGGAACCTAGTACATGGTGCGGCGCCGTTGGTGGCATCGGTTCAACGGACTCGCCGAACCTTCCGAAACACCGATGGCGACCGATGGCTTCCTGCTTTTCTTTGCGCCGTCTTCTGCCCTTTGAGCCCATGTCTTGAGCCCTTCGGCCCATGGGCCATCCATTCAAGATGTTCCTCTCGAAAACGTGCTCAGGAGCCTCATGAGAAGATGCCCTCTGAGGGCTTTGACCTTTTGATGCGCAAGGATCGGGTCAAGGACCTCGAGGCCCCGCTCCGGGCTTTTTCGTGCGGAATGGAACAGACACAGACACAAAAGCAAAGTGCATCATTAGCATTATCATTATCACATTCTTGCATTCTCTGAAGAATGCTTCATATTGCAGTTTCGGTGCGTTTTGCCTTCCATATTTCAGAGAAACATCATCTATACAGTCCCTAAACGCTCTGCGTTGGCAAACCTCAGAGTCAGACCGTGGATTCCGTGTCCCCACGAGGAGATCGAAGGACCTGCCTGTTTGGTTGGTGGTGATTTTCTCATTCATCAGTGGGTCTGTGGGGTTTTGGGAGAAGGCACAGAAGCGCACTCTAGAGACGTTTAGGATCGGTGCAGAAGCCGGGCAGGGATCAGGTTTCAACCGACAACCGCCAACCGGGTGAACCGAAATCAACCGGCGGTTGGGCGGTTGGCCGGTTCAGCCGGGTAACCGAGAACCGGCCAACCAAGAAAGAATCGGTCAACCGGTTAACCGCCGGTTGAACCGGAGGTTTCCCGGTTGCCCGGTTCAACCGGCCAACCGGCCAACCGACCAACCGGGCAACCGGGACAACCGGCAACCGGACACATCCGGTTGAACCGACTCGTCTCGGTTAGTCGGCCGGCCGGATACTCGATCGGTGTGTATGTCGACGGGGAGACGTCGAGGGGGTCGGAACACCTGGGACGTCTCGCGACTCGGCGGTGGTTTTCTCTACCCAAAGCCTCTCAGGTAGCCTGAGGCGAGATAGGTAGCCTCCTCCAGCCGTAACCGCACATCCCTTGAACTCTCGAATCTCCGTCCCTGAAGTGTGGCCGAGTTTCCGGAACGGGAGAGGTGTCGCATCGGATCGGAAGGGGTTTGCCAATGCCGAAGGGCGCCCTACCCACCACCTTCCAGGTGGTCTTGGCACTCTACGACATGCAGGAGCGAGCGAACGAGGGAAGCGTGCGAGTTGGCGCGGTGGATGGGCACGGTCCGAAAATGGGACATGGGCACGGTCGCAAGAGAAACCTAATGGCAATGGCCTCCCACCACGCCAGTGGGGCATCCCATCCCCAACGATGTCGACGACCGTTGGGCCTTCGTCGGTGCCTTTTGAGCGAGGCCGGTCCTCGGGTCGTCCGTCCTTTCCGGGGGAATGATCACGGGTCGCCGTTGGCTGTTGGAGTGGATGGTTGTCTGCCTATCAGGTCTGCCTATCTGCAAAGGCCGTTCCTCCTGAAGCAACTAGTTTTTGATCAACAGATTGTAGACTATATGTTTATATGGTCGGTACCTACAAAAAGTACTTCGCCTCAAACACAGAGCCGGAAGCAAAGGGAGCGACTTGCTGTTGATTAGGATCCCCGAGACAGGTGGTTTAGGTTTACCAGCACCTCGAGCATCCACTGGGTATCACCTCGACCATCAAGGGTCTCCCGACATTCACAGCACTGTAGACGCTAGGTCAGACGCGAGGTCAGTCACACACTGGATTGCACGGTCCGTGATTTCAAGGCCATCCGTTCTCTCCCGCTGATTGCACGGTTTGCATCAATTCCAGCGGACCACACCCCGACATCAGCGGCCCGGCCGACCTCTCTCCCCAGTCTCGGTGACGCGAAGCAGCAGCACGCACCGACGAGAAAGAGAAGAACACTTCCGCTTTGGTTGGAAGAACACCGCCTAATGCGGACATAAGAATCACCCGAAGAAAAGAACTAGACGACAGGGTGGCCCGAAAGCAAGTAGGCGGAAGAGAACAAATAGAAGGGAAGAAAAGCGAAGTAACAGAAGATGAATGAGCACTAAAGAAATGAAGAGATGATATATGATGATTCAAAACATTAAGATGAAACAAAATGAGATGATGATGAGATGACACAATATATAATATATATATATCTATATATATACATTATGATTATGATACTATTATCACGTTATTACCAAATCTATTAATGTATATTCTGTTGCACTGTACTTCGGAGCCCAAACGGTAGTCCCGGTCGATTCTTTTTTATCCAGCGCCGGTCGAGCTCAAACGCTAGTCCCGGTAGTAAGAGCCGCCGAAGTGTGCGAAATCGCACGTCCCAACCTGGCATCAGGACAACCAATGCTCATACAAATGCAACACTTGAAAAACAAAACAAATTACCCACAGTTCAACTCATGTTGTTTTGTCGGTTATCAGATATAGTTGCACACCCAGTCGGAACAGGATCGACTTCGAACAACTCTCGGTCGTGGATCTCGTGCCTTGTGGAGTCTCTGCACGTTCAGCTGGAACAAGGGTCGACTTCGGACAACTTCCGGTCGTGGACCCAGGTCCTTCTAATCAGTTTGGTCACGACACTTTGCAATAGCCAATTCACAGCCTTTCGCCGATACTTGTAACTTCGTGGCTGGTGACTATATGTGGCATCGACATGCCGGCCTCCTGGAATTCCATTGCGTGGTGTCCACTTTCATTTGGTCCCACTTGTTGCCGCTCAACCTGTTCAAAAGACTCAATGTCTCTGGAAACGAAACTGGTCTTTCAGGTCAAATCACAACAAGCAAAGAATATCATTCAAGTCCAACAATCGAACAAAAAAAAGATGTCTATAGAGCTCTGTTTGCACAATTTTATCGGTTATCAGGTATATTCGCGCACCCAGTCGGAACAGGATCGACTTCGAACAACTCTCGGTCGTGGATCCCGTTCCTCATGGGGTCTCTGCACATTCAGTCGGAACAAGGGCCGACTTCGAACAACTTCCGGTCGTGGACCCAGGTCCTTCTAGCCAGTTTGGCCACGAATTCACAGCTTTTTGTCGACACTTTGGTCACGACGTTTCAAATTCCCAACGCCAGGCATGCTTGTGATGCTCCAAGGATCGCAGTGCATACAAGACATATGCTCGTCGCTTCCACGGTCTCAGGCTTGGACGCTGCTGGAGCACACAGTCAATGGCATCCTCGACACTGAGATCCCACCAGATCACCAGCCAGGCGCAAAGCGCGGCGGTACTGCGATTGATGCCTCCAAAGCAATGAAACAAAGGCGTAAACCTGATGTCGTGGTTCCAGTAGTAGGAGGCCACATCCCAAAGAACATGCATCAAATCTTTCCAGAAAGCTAAACATTCACCGGCAGACTGACGATGCTTCGCCAGCTCTGTATTTGGGTCTTTGACTGTGGGATCCTCGATGAACCACCAGATATGAGCGACGCCACAACGTTCAAAATAGGTGGGCAAATCTGACGGCGCGCCGCGCACCTGGATCTCGTTCCCACACAGGGTCACGACATGGGAGATCTTTGTCGTGTACTCCACCTCCACCGCTTCAATGTTGCCAGCCGCTTTGACACTACCGAGGAAGATGGCATCCCCTCCCAAGGTAATGCAGCTATGCTTCAACATTTGGCGAGATTCGCACAACTCGCGGTCTCGCGCCAACGCCACTGATCTATGTATAAAGATACGTTTGGTTCATGAACCCTACCGACCACACGGATCGGATTCTGCCGACCGTCGATCGAGAATAAGCGAGTCCACTTGCCTTCGAGCCATACGACACAAAGGTCAATGATGCTGATCATGTTAAAAGCTGTCACCGTCATGATGATGCCAACAAAGGAAAAAATTCAAGCAGCTCTAACAACAAATCTGATGCTGATCATGCTAAAGCCGTCACCGTCATGCCGATGCAAACGACGGAAAAAATCCAATCAGCTACAATAACACATCGAGTCAGCTGGGTCTATTTCAAGCCAAGTATACAAATACAACACAACCTGAAACACATGTAACTCTCATGCCGTGAAAGAAAATATGACATGACATCAAATATGAAAATATGATGTGCCATGAGATGATGATCTCACGATACGCCCGTGATATGCTATTGTGATCATGAGCTAACGATGAGGTCGATGACGATTGCAATGACGTAGCTGCTGGTAATGATGATGATGATGATGATGGTGCTGACGACGATGATGATGATGATAATGATGATGATGATGATGATGATGTGGATGATAAGGATGATGATGATGATGCTGATGATGATGATGAAGGTGATGATGATGATGATGATGATGGTGCATGTCGCCAGGCACGGTTTACACCACACGTTGTTTACGCCAGACGAAGTAACCATGGAAAAGTTTACACCAGACAAAGCCGACAAAGGTTTACACCAGAGAGGAGTTTACACCAGACATCGATTACACCAGACACCGTCTATACACCAGACACGGTTTACACCAGACGTCGTTTACACCAGACAAGGCCAACAAAGGTTTACACCAGAAAGAGTTTACAGCAGAGACAGTTTACACCAGACAGCGTTTACACCGGACACCGTTTACACCAGACAAAAAGGTCTTACCGCAGACGAGGTTTACACCAGACAAAACCGACAAAGGTTTACACCAGAAAGAGTTTACAACAGAGACAGTTTACACCAGACAGCGTTTACACCAGACACCGTATACACCAGACACGGTTTACACCAGACGTCGTTTACACCAGACAAAGCCAACAAAGGTTTACACCAGAAAAAGTTTACACCATAGACAGTTTACACCAGACAGCGTTTACACCAGACACCGTTTACACCAGACATGGTTTACACCAGACATGGTGGAAACCATTGCAGCAGCAATTATAAGGCGATTAGCAACAAAAGATTGCAAAACACCACGTAACTACGCACTGAACGATGACACAGGAACACCTTCGAGCCAGAACTATAAGGCGAATAGCAACCAAAGCGTGTAAAACACCATGTAACTACGCACCGAACGATGACACAGGAACACCTTCGAGCCAGAACTATAAGGCGATTAG